TCAGTCCCTTATCTGAGTCATCACGGCGAGAGGACCTCAGTTCCCACAGCTCCAAGACCGCAGGAAACACGTAGAGGAGGTGCTGTAAGTCCGTCGTCTTGCGCGCATGGGAAAATTGCGTCGAAATCACGGCAGCCAGTCGGAAAGACTTTTGCAGCGTCACTGCGTTTGGCTCTGGCTCACCCTTCAATGCGTGCTTCAAATGGGAGCTAGCGACCTCATCCACCCCAAGAGTCCGATTCGCCAGCATGATCAAGCTATACAGGCAATCCAGCGCGCGAATAAAAGCCAGGAAACACGAAATCGGCGTGCGCGGCTGGTCATCAACATCCATAGTATCTGCTTCATCGTCGCCGGCCCTTTTTCTCTTCGTTCCCTTCTTATCGTAATCGCCATTGCGGTGCGGAGAATCGCTCAAGGTATGACTCGAATCCGAATCGGAGGGCAGTAAATCAGTCGTTCCCGTCTTCAGCGCTGCGAATACATCCTCCTCCAGGTCGGCAATAGCTTGGTTGAAGATAGCGAGGAATTTCTGGTCCTTCAGAGTCGTAGCCAGGGTCTTTGGCGGGATTAGGTCGATCAACTGTCGGAGTAGGAGGAAAGAGGTAGAGTCGACGCGATAATTCTTGCCCGCCCGCAATTTCTTCAATAACCATCGGAGCACCCATTCCTCCTTCGGGGCGGCATTATTCTGAACATGAGGGGTTCGATTGATTTCAGGGTGACTCGCACATAGGGCAAGATCCAGGCCGATGATCTGAGCGGCTTCGTCAAGCTGTGTGGTCGGAGACGCGGTGCCTTTTTCGAGGCGGAGTAAAGCCTCCTGTGAGGAGCGCGGGCGCTGTATAGAGAGGAACAATCCCAGCAGGTTAGCCGAACACTCAAAGTTGCATACAACCGAAAACGCTGGAAAGATAGCGAGCCAACACATACCTCCGCGACTGAAGGCATCTCGGATGAGACGAGTCAGATCGTAAAGTACCGGTTTCCCCAAGATCCTCGATGCCACCGCGTCAGCACAAATCGAACATAGTCCGAGGGGAGTGGTTCGTCCTAGACGTTATTTTTTTTTTTCTGCGGGGGACCAAGGAGGGATTCCTTAAAGTCGAAAAAGTTGAAGACTGACGCCAGAAAGCGGAGAGCGCTTTGCCTAGTTTTTCCGACCGCCTTTTAGCCCGGCAGAGCTCGAAACGTCGCACCCGATCAGTTTGTCCGCCCATCGACTCTCCTTCTCTTTCTTGCTTCTCATTCCTTTGCTTGCAACTACCTTTTAACCCTCCCTTCTGTAGTCTGTTGCCGAAGGTCAGTCAGGTCCCTGTCGATCCAATTGACCCCTCATTTGGGTCTTCTTTGAATTAACTCTCGGACTTTCAGCTCTTATCGCCATGGCCGACTCCAACGAATCCCAGCCGGTCGCACCGGTCCCACGCTCCACCAAGCCCGTCAGCGAGGCCCTGCTGAACGAAAAGGTACTTTGCACCACCATCTGAAGTTCCCATCGATCACTTTGTTCCGTCTGGATGTTGAATGTTCTGTTGGCTGGGCCTGCCATGGAGCCGCCGGACCTCTCCGCCCTTGCCATCCGCAAATTGCAACTGCGGGACAGACGCACATATGTCATCGGGAAGTGTAGTCAGTAGTGCTCGGGCTAATACGGAACTTCTCAATGCACAGTGGGATCGCGCCATCTCCTCCCTCATCATCCGCTCTTCCCTCGGTCTCTCCTTCGGTGTCGTCTTCTCCGTGCTCCTCTTCAAGCGGAGAGCGTGGCCCGCGTGGGTTGGTCTCGGCTTCGGTGCCGGACGTGCTTGGGAGGAAGCTGATTGTACGTTCATGCAATTGCATTCAACCCTTTTTCTTCCAATGCCGGAGGGAACTATTTAAGCTAACTTCTTACAGCCTCCTTCCGTCGGGGCGACTCTCCGGTCAGAGATGCCCTGCGTAGGTAGAGTAGCTCGGGCCTCCATTTCTGTATGATACCTGTATAGCTGGGAAGGAAAACGAGCTGCATCAAGAACATCTTTCGTCGTGTTTGAAATGGTCTCTCTAGACTTTTTCCTACTTTAGCATTCAATTCATCGTTGTGCTACCACTTCTAACTGTCTTTTAAGGCATCTGTAATGCTGCTTTGATAGTAGCTATTCGTTAGCATTCAGGCCCGTCATGCGACCACCTTATAAGACATTTGGGCTTAGTTCTCTCCAGGTTACTGCATTCGGTCTAGACCAGAGTCTCTCTTGCGATAAGTCTACGGATGTCTTGCCAATCAGTATAGAACGAATGGAAATAATAGAGGAATAAGGGCTCATAGAGCTTGGGGAGGAGATTGGTCCGTGCGTTTGCGACTCTAGACAGACTAGGTAATGGCTGAGGAATATATACAACAATAGAGAGGACGGAAAGACTTTTGTATCCTCTATCATCCAACATCTATGAGCAAGGGGTATCATGAACAAGCATCGGTCATCCGAGTGAGAACTTGATCGCAGGAAAAGCAAGGGAAGGGCATAAGGGTGGAAAGATGGCGGGGTCGCATTGCATCCCAATGCAAATAAATGGTGGGGTACTACAACATAGAGTTCGAATGAGCGACGAAGTTATCCATCACGGGCATCTGTGACGTGCTGTGACCTGTAGCATCCATGGAGAAACCTGGTAGGTTCATGTGGTCCCAGTTGCCCTCGGGCATGGCGGGCTCAAGGGGCAGTCCGTTGTGTCCACTGTGGGTAAGACAGCCAACACAGGTACAGTCACTTCCGCACTGGCAGCTTCCAGTTGTATCGGAGCAAGCGCTAGGTAGCCCCACTGGGTACTCGAGAGTATAGTACTCTGACGGTACCATCAGTTGCTGTCCTAGATAATCGGCAGGCGGAGATGAATAGCCATTATTTGCGTGACCTGAGTCCGCACTCTGTTGGGCATATGAGTGCATTGCGACGGGGTGAAAGTTGTCGCCCAGAGGATTACCGAAGTTGGCGAAGGAATACTGTAATGACGAGAAGTCCGGGGGTTGGCTCTGCGAAGGGGAGCCTCTATGGCTGTTCAGCCTGTTGGGGCTCTGTTCATCATCATTGAAGGCCACCAGGAGGCCCATCTGTTGGACATGCTGTCTAGTAGTGTTGTTGAAGGGGTGAGATGCGCAACCCAGACATTGACAACCATCGCCACAGCTACAATCATGGGAGGCTTCGCCAGCAGGATTTGCTGGATCTGCAATAGCATTCTGCGTGTCCTCCGACGTCGGCTGAGAAATCTGATTGTTGAAGATCTCATAGTTGTTGAACGCATGCGGATGCTGAAAGTCTGGTGGTCTAGAATGAAAACCCGCGGCAGGTCCAGCCATTGGGAGATAACCGGACTCGGATATGGGCAATGCGAAAGGCTGCATGTACTGGCTCTGCTTCGCTGCTTGGAAATCTTGCCACGTCGAAACCTGGGGAATAGAGTTCGGTGTGTATCTTGCATTATCACTGTCGAAGGCTGGAGGTTGGAAGTGATCATAACCGCTGGGAGTGCTGTCCTCCTTCTCGACATCTTGTGCCGCCGAATCGGACTTCCTACAACAGGAACGTTGGACTGCAGGAGCTGGAACATCCGGGATTATAATCTGTGAGGGCTGAGACTTGCGAGAGCAACAGCTGCCGCCCTGCGGCGCCTTCTCTTCGCTGGCGCACTCGAAGGTCTTGTGCGAGGGGCTTGGTTCTTGCTTGATGATATCATATGAACTGCACAAACGCTGTTCCTGAGCCGAATAAGGAGACGGTCGGCCGAAATTTCCATGTTCCAATTGCTGGCTTCCGAATTCTGGTATGGAGTTCAAGGCTTTGGTAAGGTTCTCCGGGGCCGTCTTGATCTGTCGTTTGATGGGTTTCTGGATTTTGTTGGGAGCAGCAATCGGCATCGGAGGAGCAGAAATGGGAGTGGTTGAAGCAGATTCCGCCGCATCGGCAGGCACTTGGTACACTGGTCTACACAAGCAAGTCGAGCCTACATGACACAGTCAAAGTCAGTCACCAAAGACGCGACTATGACACTGTAGGATAGACGATAGGTCATATCCGTCGCATATACCCACCTTTAGGAATGCGAATCATGAACGCATATAGCTTCTGGCAGCTGCAAGTTCCCTTCGGATGAGGGCATCTAGCAAGCGGTCGTCCGGCCTTTGGGACCTTCATCATCATCCTGTCGAAGTGCTGGCATTTTGAGGACCGATGGCCACGGATACATGGCTCACTAGTGGAAGCGCATCTGATTAGCAGAGAGCCTATTTCACCGGCGGAGAGTTATACCATGACCACTTGGCCCCTTCTTCATCGAGAGGCATGATAACGAGCCCAGAACAGCATCAGCCGAGAGTGTGCTGAATAGTGAATCCAAGGGAGGGCCTGAGCTTTCAGGTGAGATATAAGTGTGCGAATTGGCCTTACCCCGCCCGTAGGTCTGATCGTACCACGGCCGCAAGCAGGCTTTCGTAAGGACTCAGTTGATCACAAAGAAAAGGAAAAGAAAAGAAATAAGCAGGGTGTTAGAGACAGGTAATAGCGATGCACGTCTACCGAGAAAACAAGTTGTTGTTCCCCTCGAAGCGAAGGCGGACCAGGATGCACCACAAGTGGAATGACAAAGAGAGGCTGGAACGGGTTGGACAAGCGACGGATTCGAACGAGCGCAAAGGTTACCCGGTGGGATGGATTCCAGAGGCGGGGAAGAGACGAAGGACAACCCGGCGAGGCCGAGGGATTGCAGCTCGGGATGAGGAAGAATGCTGCAGTATGGAATTACCACCCCGCAGGAAGTTGAATAATTAGTATTGCTGAGGGAATGCCGTGGGTGGTCAAACCGAGAGAGAGAGAAAGGTGGTGGAGGTCTCCGTTGCCGTCCGAACGGCGGAGCAAAACTTAACGATAAGCCGATAAGAGAAATTCAAATCCAATCCAACGCATGGCAGCCCGTTGGAAACCTCAGGCAGCATAACCAATATCTTTGCCTGAGGCACACAAAAGGGTGCTTCTGCGCGGGCTTGGCGGCCGGAGATTATCAGCCGGCGAATAACAAGATCAACTGAACTCAACTAAGTAAATAGTTGGGCGAGAAACGGTTCTGTCCCTCTGTTCATCAGACAAACCTACATCGACCTCGGGTCTTCTAGCTGTCCTTGTCGCCAATTCTCCGGCATCCATCAAACTGACGTTTCAGTTCTACCGTTCTCTTTAATACCACAGTTGCGCACTCCCCTCCCTCCATCCATCCATCCAATGACCCCCGAACACCGTGATGTCCCCGGCCAGACACCGGACAATGTGAGCACGGTGTCGCGCGCTCGAGACTTCTTCTCCGTTCCGGCACCAATCAAGCGCATCTTCGACCGTTTCCCCCTCGTCACCTACCCCTCCAATGATCTCCCGCACAGCGCATGGTCCGACAAACGTGGCAATCGACTGTATGTTTTCACCGATGCCGCAAGTGCCAGGCATGGCAGACCGTCGTTCAACCCGCAGTGTCTCAAGTGGCAGGTACGTAGTAGGAAATGCAGCATTGCGCCAGTTCCAAAGTACATCGTTAACCTGAACCTCTCCCCGTGCCTTTAGGCATACTTAAGATTCGTTGGGATCGACGTCGACGTGATTCCTTCTAACAACCATGCATCTCCCTCTGGCGCCCTTCCTTTCCTAATCCCCGCCCACCCCATCAACAACAACGCCCCTATTCCTTCCAGCAAGCTCCAAAAATGGGCCATCGAGCAAGTTCACTGCGAAGAGGAGCAGCAGTTGGATCTGCGTTTCGAGGTATATGCGTCGTTGCTGGACCACCGGATACGAAATGCTTGGGTGCGTTACGGACCCCCCACCCTCCGGAATCCATTATCGATGGATGAGTGTTGACTGACTTAATTGGCGCCGGGGCAGCTATATACCCTATACCTGGATCCCGAGGAATTCGAGGCCGTTGCTCGACCTTTATACGTGGACCCGTCTAGTACGAATTCCGCCGTGCGGACCGCTCTCGCGCTGCAGCTCCAGCAAGCTGCCCGGACAGAGATCCTAAAAACATCATCTTATATCGATGTGGGCGCCTTGGAGGCCGAGGCTAACGACGCATTCGAGGCACTGTCTACGTTACTGGGCGATAACCTGCACTTCTTTGACCGACCGAATCCGGGTCTGTTCGATGCTAGTGTTTTCGCATACACGCACCTGATCTTGGAGGAGAAGCTAGGGTGGCAACGGAACCGGCTGGGACAATTGCTGCGCCAACACGAGAACCTTGTACAACATCGTGACAGACTCCTCAAATTCTTCTAGACGGATGGATTTGTGAAAGAATCCTCTAATTTTACTGTACAATAACAACTTATATGTGTCAATGCTACCCAACTAGAATCGGAACAGGCCTCCGCCTTGAAGGAAATCCGTCACAGTCTTATACCCCGATCAACCCGTTTGGACAAGATCCGGTCAAGCAATATCAATACTGTAGGAAACAGACTGGCAAGTCTTTGTCTATGTCCCTTCCTGTGGCTGGACCGGTAAACTACTAATAATACTAGTAAGGAGGTAAGCTTCTACGCTAGCCAATGTCAATTTCCGCGTATCGGAGACCGATCCGGGACATACAGGCATTACGTCGGCTTGACCCTCACACACCGACCCGCTCGGCGTTGACGGAGGCAGTGATGGGATGGAACCTTTACAAATTGAATGCGCGAACCCGCTTGGGTCTTCTCTGTATTTGGATGGCTCTATTGGCGTCATCGAGACACAGATACCATAAATTAGCCAACACGACCCGGGCATCATGCATTACTGGCAGAGCTTGTCTCCCCATCCGCATACGCTTTGGAAGTTGTGGTCAGTTCTCCCTGCCCATATATTGGGGCAATGAACTCCTGGCTCTCACTTCTCTCATAGTCTCTCTGAATCTCCGTCTTCTTTGTGATTCCACCTATAGTCCAACTGTGGCGGTGCAACTCGAAGTTCGATGCATAACTTTGCTGTGTCTTCGTTGACCGGCTCGTGGGAAATTGGGGGCCAAGCTTGAAAAGTTTTCGCAGAGAAGGAAGAGACCCTGACATTAGGCCGAGGTTGAATTCAATCTCCATCCAAATGAGGGACGTGGAGGCTGAGTCTGGGAAAAGTCAGTAACCTATCTTCTGCCCACTTGAAGGAGACTATACAGGTGAAATTGGTTGTATCATTGGCAAACTTTAGCGTTGAGAAACGCACGAGGGCAGCAACACATGCAGTAAAACCTGCACAATAATAAGTTATTGGACTTTTGAATTCTTTCAAAAACTCACCAATGCAGAGTAGCCCCAGCACAAGTATTCGTCTCCTTATCGGCATCTGCAACTGCCAGATAGGCCGTATCGGGAGTACTAGGATCGATACATCTAGCACGAACATGATGACACCTTGCATCATAAGAATTGCGTACGAGGTCTCAGTGGGATAGCAGCTCGAGTTGGTGATAGTCTTGTCATAGGCCGCTTGGACAGGGCGACATTGAAAGACCAGCGCGAGGGTCCCCGAAAGGGTGAAGGCCGCGATGATACCAAGAAGGGCTTTCCCGGCAATGTGGACGAAGCGAGTCGGAAACAGACGCATTATAAATATGAGCAGGCTCGTTTTCACAGTTGCTGCAATGACTAGGTAGGCGCATTGTGAGGCATATTCGAGCTGCAAAGATCAGTTTGGTTGAAAGCTTTGGGCCTCAAGGTACGAACCGTGAGGAAGACAACCAGATGGTCTTCAGGAACATATTTTAATGGCCGACCCAATCCATAGTACGTTATGATATACGCCAAAGCAGAGAACAGATCCACTCCGATCTAGTCAGTCAGTTATCAGGCGCAGGGAAAGTTACTGGCTGCGTAACTCACAAGAGCAACGAGCACCAACCAGTCATCAAGCCCGAATTTGTTCAGAACGAACTTGCGCATATACAGCTACAACAGCTCAGTCATTGTGGCCTCCATATGGCTTGCAGGAGTATCATGAAAACATACTCGAAGCACACACACCAAGGTTGTCGGAACCGCCAGCACTAACACAATGATCCGCACCGCGATGGTCATGGACGATGTTGGCACATTGTCCTGTTGCTCGATAGACCCACCCATCCTAACCGGCTCTCATGCACCAAAGCAGAGGTGGTCATCAGGATGGATCGAGAAGAGAGAGCAGAAGCGGGGGGAATGCCATCATTTCTAAAGTATTTGTCTGGGGTGCTGTGGACCACGAAGGAATGCAAGTCAATGATGCCAATGCTCTTAACGTACAAATGAAACAGGGATCTGGGATTCTCAGGCTCCAAATTCGAGGCTTGTCAAACATTAACAGGGGTCTGAATCCTGGTCGCAGGATCGCTCAAGACGCCGGCGCAGATAGCGTCTAGTCGGTTCCGAGCCGATATCCACCATCCGGATCACGGAATTGGGGGTAGAAGCCTTCTTCTCGGTCTTCCTTGCCTTTATTTTCTTTTTCACTTCCTCAAATTTGGCTTGTGACAACTACCTGCATGTATAGCTCGTGCATAGATCACACAATGGCTGCGGTAGTCACGGAGATCGTCGCCAACGCCTGCCATCTAGAGCAGGAGAAGGTCACGCATATAGAGACCCTCTTATCGCGATTTGACAGCCTGTCAGCTGCAGAGCAAGACCAGGAACGAGCCTCTTACGTTGCCGACGTCTTCCCCCTGTTCTTTGGCGCAGCTGCCGTCGTGCACGGGTCCAATGGCTATGAGCCGCAGCGTATAGTTCCCTGGTACGTCTATACTTTTGGATCGACCACCAAAGGAATCCCTTTACCAACCACCATAATCCGGTCAGGTCTACCAATTGCTGGCTTCAACCTCGGGTAATCGTCCGTCCCGGATCTGCCCAACAAGTTGCAGCTGCGTTGGCGCTGTGCCGCTTTTTCCACGTCAAGTTCTCCATCCGGGGTGGGGGCCATTTGCAAATTCCGGGCTTCACTAGTAACCAGGACGGCGTGGTCATCTCCTTGGGAGCATTTGACCAAGTCCGGGTGGCTGAAGACAAATTCACGGCAGAGATTGGCGTCGGATTGAGATGGTTGGAAGTATATCGCCGTCTTGAACAGCACGGGGTGGCGGTTGCAGGAGGAAGAGTGCCTTCCGTTGGGGTTTCCGGCTTGTTGCTCGGCGGCGGCATCTCCTTCCAGAATAGTCAGTATGGCGTGGGTGCCATGGGCGTCTGCAACTACGAAGTTAGCATTTATTTCCTTTCCTCTTCCCGTACCCATGAAGAAAAAATACAGCATTTAACAATTCTTGAACAGGTTGTCCTCGCCAATTCGCAAATCATCAATGCCAATGCCCGCGAAAACCCCGATCTATTCTGGGCCCTCAAGGGTGGCGGGCCCAATTTCGGTAACTATACCACCTACCATTATCAAGCTTCATGACTAGCAACACCAGCATATGCGGTCTTCGTACTATCTAGCAGCGGATTCCTAACTCGACGTTTTGCAGGCATTGTTACCAAGATTGAAATGAACACCATTCCCAACCAAATATGGACCGAAGTTCGTATCTATCCCCTCACGGCAGCCGACCAACTGCGCGCCGCACTGATGCAATACCACGATGCCATTGAAACCGACAACAAGGCATCTCTCATCTGGAACGCTACCAACGACATCACTCTCATTGTCTATTTTTACTGCGCGCCCGTCGAGAACCCCCCCGTCTTCCAGGCCTTCTACGACATACCTCATCTCACTAGCTTCGTGCCCCCGGGTATCCGCACCGTCTACGATCTAGTCCAAGCCGTGGCATCCGTGAATGAAGCTGAACCTACTGTGTATGCCATATCCTTGAAGATTCTACCAAAGGAAGAATGCCAATCTAACAACTCTCACAGCCATGAGTTCCGCACCATGTCCAGCCGCCCTAGTTTAGAAGTCTACAAGGCCATCGAACAAGCTCACGCTGAGCAAGCAGAAGCTCTCAAGGACGTAGAGGGCATCGCCTTGACGACCGTCATTCAGCCTATGTCATCACTCGCCATGAGAGAATCGCTTAAGAATGGCGGAAGTCCTCTAGGTCTGGAGCCCGTTGGACAGCAGTGTACGTATACCCACAAGAAAGAAGATGTCTTACGTTTCCTCCTGGTAGCTAATACATCTATTTTTGCGTACAGGGTTCCTCGCCCGAGCAGACTGGAAGAACATCCAAGATGAGGAACGGGTGCGCGAGGCAGTACGCAAAATCGTGGATGCGGCGGAATCCGCGGCAAAACGGACGGGTGTGTATCTCCCCTACAAGTATTCGAACTATGCGGCGTGGGACCAGGATCCGTTGGCGAGTTATGGTGCGGAGAACGTAAGACGATTGAAGGAGGTGGCGAGGAAGTATGATCCCGAGGCGGTCTTTCAGACATTGCAGAATGGGGGTTGGTTGTTGAGTAAGGTTGGAATGGAGTAACTAGATAGGGGTCATGAATAGCCAGGTAGGTGGGCAGATGATAGACTGTACATATGGAGGTAGACACAGAGTTGTACGAGAGATTGTGGTTTCCATAGCGATGTGGCTCAGAAAGTTTGGCTCAGAAGTTGCCGGAGCTCGGATCTAAGACATGCATTGGCCCCAGGCATGGGTCACACTACTCGGCAGCAAAACTATTGTCATTCATAACAATTCATTCAGGGTCGCATAAGATTATAAAGACATGGTCGCAACGTGACACATGAGACATCAGGCGGATGCATGAGTCATATAGGAAAGGCATTGACAAAAAGTGAGGGAAGAAACAGGATAGAGGCTGTTGTGCCGGATGCATAGACCGTACCAGACGGGAAAGGCTGAAGAGAAAACAAGACACAAAGGAAATAGAGGAACAAAGGAACAAAGGAAATAGAAGATTGAGGATATCAAGAGAAAAAGAAAACCATTAAAGAAAAAGAACCCCAGCCATGATACCGTTATCCATGCACGCTCAACATAAACAAAGGAATTCAGAACCCAATGACGCTCGTAACACCGCTAATAGACTGTTGCTCCAAAGGGCGCTGTTTCTTTCAAATCCTCGACCAGATCCTCCACATTGTTCAAGTACCGGCCCAATAATGCTTGCTTCTCGTCAGTCGTACGTGTATCCCGATGCGCCTTTCCGCCGCTGTGGGCACCGGGGACATTAACACTCCGGGAGACCGGGGAAACACCAAGTTTACTTGGACTCCGTTGATGTCCAAGGACTGCCGTATTGGGCGCGCTCGCTGCGCTAGTGGGGATCATCGGTGTTTCCGGCATCAGGTAGAAGTACAGAAATTCGACGAGTTTGAGCTTGACTTCACGAGATGTTGCTCGTTGCTTGAAAAGCGAGGTCACCGTAAGCAGTCCGTCAAGTTCCTCGAAAGTGCGCGTGTTGGCGGGGTGGTCCAATAGAGCCGTGACCAAGGTGAGAAGGGTCGCAGACTGAATGGCGGGGCAGTTGATTGGATCGAGGAGGTCCAGCAGTAGGTTCATGTAAATTTCGCGCGCGAACAGTGTGCGCGATGGAGGGTGGAGGAGGAGCACGCCCTGTATCAGATCGAGTGTGGAGACGATGAGAAGGTCATTGGTGCCATTGCTCCCCCGCCCAAGCAGGTGTTCGAGACATGTCACCAAGCGCATTGCGACTGGTTGCAGTGCATTAGTGTTGGGGACTCACATAATCGTTGAGTCGGCGGATAGCGACACTTACCATTCCATTGAAACCCTTCCTGAAGTTTGAAAAATTCCCTGAAGGCCGGATCATCTCGAAGCTCGGCCAAAGACTTGGGCACCGGTTGCGGAGCCCCAAACGACAAAAGAGAACGGCGTTTGTCAGACGCCGGGCGTTTCGTCTTGGATAAACAGATCTGTGCGAGGAGCCCTTCGACCTGCCGCAGCCCTTTGCGAACTTTGCTTGGTTCGTAAGAGGAAAGGTAGTCGAACGAGTGTGCCAGCAAAGCCTCCATGAGTAATACAAGAAGGGCAGAGATGATGAGTAGCACGGCTATTTCCAGAAATAACAGGGAAATAAGGAACTAGGTTGCAGGTGAAGGAAACCGGGGGTTGAAAAAGAAAAAGACGGGCCGTGATCTGTCAGTCGCAAAGGACCCTGGGCCAAGAGATACGGCGCTATCTATATGTAGTACCTTAACTTAGAGAGAGGAGCCAGAATAATAATCGAACACGGCTGAGCCCAGGCGCTTGGAAAATGGGGGCCTTAATTAAAGGCTACAATGATTGGTGAGCGATAGTCGGTGGGCTCGATCAACTAGCGAAGAAATAGTTGTTGTCATCGTGTGAAGCTGATCGAGCCGATTTAGACTCGGTCACTGGCCAGCCTTAGTGACTGCAGCTCCCCCACATCCGACACAAACACCCGATGGTTGTCCCGGAGACGCACGATCGTGTTCCAATAGGCGTGCTACATTCGACGCCATGAAGAACAGGATCTCCTTGATAGCCTTCAGCTAATGATGTCAAGAAAAGGGATCCATTTTTCAGCTACGCCACCAAGTCAATCCCTGGCCAAGATAAAGGCCTGATGGTTATCATGCCGTCACCCGTTGGGTTGCAAGAGTTTCTTGAAGAAGTCGGTCAGTATGAGAACCAACACGGAAGCAGTCTCCAGAGCATGGAATGGGTGTTTACCGGCCCACCGACCGTGCCCACGACAACTACGAGTACTTGCTGCTCGTGGCTGGTGCAACCACTCAAACGTCACCACCCCTTGCAGGCGGTAGAATTGAAAATACCGTCACACTCGTCACACTGGGGATCACACAGGGAGGGGGAGTTTGGTGTAACTTTAGTAAAGAGAGGGGAAGTGAGGGAGGGAGCATTCCCAGCTGTCACCGGATCGGAGTTTCCCAGTTTCGCCGACACGTGAGTCATGTGACCTCAACAGGAGAAAGCGACGGCAATGCATGTGATGCTCCTCGTCATTTGGCCGATTTCCCCGCAGCAGAAGCTCTCTTGAGAGAGCCTTGTGCAGCCTGCAAGATACCCTTTCAACTTGGTTACTTTTGCCTTCATTCTTATGGGACACGGACCTTACTTATTGCGGCTGTGCCCTTCTTCCTGATTACCTGTAAGATGGGCTTGCTCACTCCTCCCCTTTCTCACGATTGCCTGGCTGTTACAGCATTGCCCGCTCGCCAAAAACCTCCCCCTCTCTGTTCGTGACGAGACCCAGCAATCACCCCGTAAAACACGCAAGCGATTAACACTCAAACCATGTCTGCAGGACCGGTTTCTGAAATCTCTGCTAGCGGACCTCCTCACCCCGGATTGTATTTTCTCGCAGGTAGTTCAATTGACGGCACAGGCGCAGCTAGCCTGGGGAAGCCAGATCTCCTGGTGAGTCCCGCCATGGATCACGCAAGCTCAAACGATGATGGGCTCGCCACAAACACGAACCACTCGCGCATGCACAATCGTAATCGCTCCAGCGTCGATGGAACCAAATACAAAGATGGACAATGGTCGCCTGAAAATGAGAGGATTGTTATGGGGCCGTACGACTATATGCTACAGCACCCCGGCAAGGACATACGGCGGCAGCTTATCAACGCCTTCAATATGTGGTTGAAGGTACCTCCGGAGAGCCTTTCAATCATCACAAAGGTGGTGGCCATGCTTCATACTGCATCGTTACTGTAAGCTCTCTACATCATGCCTCGGTTTAGTCTGGACACCTACCTGACCTATGGCGTATGAGCCAGGATCGATGATGTCGAAGACAACTCCATTTTGCGACGAGGTATCCCAGTAGCCCATAACATATACGGCACCGCGCAGACCATCAACTCTGCGAATTATGTATATTTCCTCGCTCTACAAGAGGTGCAGAAGTTGAACAACCCCGCTGCGATTGACATCTACGTTCAAGAGTTACTGAACCTACACCGCGGTCAAGGAATGGATCTCTTCTGGCGAGATACCTTGACTTGCCCCAGCGAGGACGAATATTTGGAGATGGTCGGCAACAAAACTGGTGGTTTGTTCCGACTTGCAGTGAAATTAATGCAGGCCGAAAGTAGCTCCGGCAAGGACTGCGTGAGCCTTGTCAACGTCATGGGACTGATTTTCCAAATCTGCGACGACTATCTCAACCTGTCCAACACTACGTACACCAAGAACAAAGGTCTTTGTGAAGACCTCACGGAGGGAAAGTTCTCCTTTCCCATCATCCATAGTATCCGCTCCAACCCCGGAAACCATCAGCTCCTCAGCATTCTCAAGCAAAAGACGAAAGATGAAGAAGTCAAGCTGTATGCAGTCAGTTACATGGAAAGTACTGGCAGTTTCGCGCACACGCGGGACGTGGTCCGAGAATTGCGAGCCAAAGCACTGACCCTCATCCAAGCGATCGATGGTGATCAAGCAGATGGACGTGAGGACGGCGCCATGGTTCGGGCGATCCTTAACAAGATCACCGAATCGACACTGGGGGAGTGTGGTCCCCAGTAAGTTCAACGGACGATGATCAAGCGTCCATGCTCGGAGGTTATTCACCGCCATCCCTGGTTGGTTGGTTGGTCGATTGCATGGGACCTCGTATTTATTATGCAGGATGTTGAAACGTGATACCTTTTAGCCTATTAATCAGATTGCCTTGTGATCTGAAACATTGCACTCATGGCGACTCTTAATACGAACTTTGATTTTCTTCTTTGCTTCTTTTTCTTTTCCTTGTCTTCTAGCCCGTAACAAAAAGAAACCAGAACATGTTAATCACTGAACGTCTAGATAGTACCGAATCCAATACACAGCCCCGGGGTATATGTTGTCTTCTGCCAAATGCCCAATTGCGCGAGAAGTCCAATGATCGGTCGTGTCTGCCCACGCACCCTTCTCTGTCTATATCAATCACACATCAGATCGTATCATATATAGGCCCAAAAAGTTACTCTTTAGCCCAAAATTGTTATGTATCCAAGCGCGAATCTCTCTTCACATGACCACACAGCAAGCCTTCTCCAGCTTATTAAGGATCTTAGGCAGAACCGCATTGACCACCTGCTCGATCTCATCCTGGTTACCCGCGCCTTGTTGTTGCTGCTGAGAACCAGAATACTGCTGCTGTTGCGAACCGGGATATTGCTGCTGCTGTTGCTGTTGATGCGGGTGAGCATAGGTGCCCGACGAATGCTGCTGCTGCTGAGGGTATTGCTGATAGTGAGGATGATTGGGCGTAGGGGCAGTGTCCATATCCGCCGGACCACCAGTCAGATTCACATAAATGCGCCCAGCATTTTCCTCAGTCGCATACTGAAGACCAAGTTCCTGACAGACTTGCTCTACTCGGGGCTTGATTTTCTGGATATGGTTGGCCGAGTGGTTTCCTTTGCCGACGATCCTATTGAATGGCAGAAAGTTGGATGATTAGCGATTTGTGTCGAGAGTAAGGAAGGAGCCTGTGTAGTGTGTAACATGAAAAGGAAGCTTACACATGGAGATGATCCTGACCGTGCGCCTTCGCATACTTGATCCTCTCCTCTAGGATCTCCTCTGCCTCTTCGACAAATTGTCCGTGCAGATCGATGGTGTCTGCCGCAACGCGCCCGTTGGCGTTGTTCTCACGGAAGATGAACTCCGACGCTTGCTTGTTGTATTCTTCCATCTTGCGACCGTGGGCTTTGCCTTGTTCGGAGAGCTCTTTGGCCTTGGCGCCATCGCCGCTGGAGTAGGCTTCCTGGGACTGGCCATTGAATACTAGTTAGTTGTTTGTTCCTCTCTGATTTGGCGAGTGGTTGGGTGGTTGCGGTAGTGGTTGTCAATGGCGTACCCGTTGGAAACATGAGTTGCGCTTTGAAGCTTCTTGTCGGGCTAGGTTGCGGAGACGGTCGTATTCGGCCTCTGCATCTTGGCTCTGATCGTGACTGAAGGCTTCGGTAACGGTGTGGTTAGTTTATTGGAGATTGTGGCTATGAAGGTCGGAAGGGATCTTACCCCGAGGGCCCATGTAGGACATTTCATGCTCATGCATTTTGACGAAAAGGGGTGTCTAGCGAAAGATGCAGGTTGCAATGATAACGACGGGGCGTATCTGCGACGGATAGTCAATCCGTACGGGTATTAGTCTGTATGCGATGTCCTCGGTCGCAAAAAAAAAGTGTAGCGCAAAGGCGAGGCTGTGAAGGAAGGCCGATCGCGCGAGTGGATGTTGCAGTCCCTGAGAGATGGATGGATCGGGGATTGGATCCGTGGATGGATCAGTGGAGCGGCGATCGGATTGGCCGATGAGCCAGCCAGGGATCGTGGACGGAATCGCACATGAAAAAAGGCTGGGCTGGATTGGAGATCCATGGTCTCCTCAATTCATTCTTAGATAACTTCATGCGGTAGGCGACAATCTAGTTATCGGGTTGGAGTTGAGTGTCTTACTCTGCACGGTCTTCCTCAGTTCCTCCTTCGTATTGACAGGATGCACGGTCAGCCACCCCCATCACGAGTTACAACGGACTGGAACACTTTAGAAGGCTGTCAGCCCATTTCCGAGCTTACTGGGGATCTTGCCGACCATCATCATCCACCAATCCTTTACCCATTCGGCATTCTTGCAGCTGGACCCAGAAATCATCATCATCACCTCCATCGGTTCTGCTCAGCATTGACCGTATTCCGCATTTCTCCCAGGTTATGCAACCGAATCAGTAAAAGCGTCTACATAATAAGGTGTCTATGCCAAGGTCACCAAGCCAGTGAAGAGTGGAAACCAAGTCAATAGTCTGGCCATGCTCCATGCAAAGATGGGGATATGTCCATTTCGAGCTGCCTTCTTAGGTTATCGGTCGACAGCGGCAGGATTTCTCGATTGAAAGTATAAGCAGTCGCGACCCTCCAGGGGATATACTAACTAACTATGTATAACTTGAGTTATTCATCATAATTAGTAACTAACTATAACCCAGAATGGTAGGAGAGAACATGTCAGGCAGCTCGCCACGAGGCCCTTTCCCCAGTCACAAAGGGGTGAAAGATGTGATGTGATGGTAAGGAGACGACAATCATCATGAATAATAGCGTGGGCGGTAAAAGCAAGCGACTAAGGCGACTAGACAGTGGAGAAGTTGGTCTCTAGTCGAGTTGCAGAACCACGGATTTCGGTTACCGACTTCCATTCCAGCAAGCAGCATCTGAGCAGATTCATCTTGCACGATTCAGGCGGGTCGTTCCGTCTGTGCATGTCCGGTGGCCATGGGAGGCAGCAGTGGTTGAATCCTCCTTCATCCATGGAAGTTGTTGTCACAGCATGAGCTGTTGCGATGGAAGAAGTACATACTAAAACCAAGAGGTTGCCACTGGACGAAACCACAAGCGTGTATCAGATGATATGATGAACAAACGAATGGGTCTTTGTGAATGCATGTTTCTCATCCATTTTCTCCCTTTTGTGCGGAGAAGCGATCGACGGGCAGTTGCAAGTGGAGTTTTACCATACGGTACCTGGCCGTAGGAACAGGAACGACAATATTCCTCCGTACGCTAATGCCCATCCCAATCTTGAGGCCATCCACCTTTTTTTTCTTTCCACATGGTAGTCTAGAGCTGCAGTAGTAGCCTCCACTGGAATGCATTCTACCCCGTATATCATCACATCAGACATGCATGATTATTCCGCCACGTTTGATTCCTCAGAATGTTCTGCCTATGAATAGACACAAACTGCGTCACTGGCTCTATCAGCTCAAGCCTCTCAACTCTCAAGACATTCTGGAACAAGCCAACCGACCGCGTAACTTTGTGAGATGGCGCGGTGTACCTGGCGATCGGGCGCGCTGAGCGTGCCGGACCTCCACCGCGTGGTGGGCACCTGAAACTGCAGGCGCCCTTCCAAGTTGCACCCTTACCAGATTTAGCAACGGTCGGCTACTGCGAACTGTGGACGATGTCTTCTGCTGCTGCTGCTGTCGTTGTCGTTATTACTGCTGCAGGATTAGTCTAGCCCGTTACTGATGAGCAGCAGAGACAAGAGAGATCTGGGATGGATTTCGTCACCAGTGGAGGTCAGCGCTTAGTATGATTTGAAGAGTTAAAAAACGCCTGATGGGCTGGCTGTCGAATGGCATCCCGGTCGCCATGGCCATCTCCTACAGGTGCGCACTGCAGATCTGCGTCATCCGGAAATTAATTCATGCAACTGAATCATTGATTATAATATCTACGGTAACGACAGCCTTGGAACTACGTAGTTTGTAACTCTATATGGGATCTGGGTTTGGACCTCTTTGCTGTCTCATCACTGTATCATGTCTATCTTATGCTGCCGACTGGCAGTATCTATGACGCAGAGGATGGTGTGGTAGTAGATAGTACTGTTGTAGTTGTGTCTGGGATGGGCTTTTCGGGACTGAAATGTAAGAGATGTATGAGACTATGCCTCTTCTGAACTGTGCTGGTCTTACCATCGGGAGAAGAATCCCAGTTGGAGCACAACAAATTTCGGACAGAGCAGACTCCTAAGTCAGAGAAGAGCCGGTCGTCGAAAAAGGGGAAGGCTACTCATTAGATTCGCAAGGCCATTGGATCGTGCTGGTTTTTCCTCCACTGCCACCCCTTACCAGCAGAGCCAATCAGCAGTCTATGACTGGGTCGCCATCGCATTTACCAAACGAGACGACTCCACTGCCCCTATTGAAGTGGTCCAGTCATCGTCACTCATAGGTTGGAACCGGGCCAGCTTATCGTTCCAGAAAAAAGCGGGAATGGTCAATGGCAGAAAGAAGAAGGAGAAAAAAGGGAAAAAAGGTTTATAAAATTTTTATTGGGGAAAATCAAAATCAAAATCGAAAAAGAAGAGGAAGAACCTTTCCTCAGGCTTCACCCCCCGATACTCACTTGGTACTAGAATAGTTTACTAGTAGACTAGCAGCAAGCAGGTACCGACACCCGGTAAGTAAGTAGTAGTAGTAGTAGTAATGGAGTCGGCGTATCAGCCTGCTGCGTTCTCTCTAGTTCATCCCCTCTTCCTCAGACTTCCCCCCAATCAATCCCTCCTTTTCCCGGGTTTCTGTCTGCTCTCCAGGCTAGTTGCCCTCACACACGCTCTCTCGTTGCTCAACTTTTCTGGCACGCTCCCGGGACTGCCTCAGGATCTCATCTTGGCCCCTCTTTTTTCCGTTGCCCGACTCACTCACGCTGAAAGTCTGCCCCCCCTTACAACCTGTTGAGCTTAATCCTTTCCCTCCGGCCCTTCAGCCTCGCTCGCTTTACCCTCTCTCTCTCTCTCTCTTTTCTTTTCCCTTTCGATCTCTTGTCTCATCTATTCCCACACCCCCCCCTCCTCCTCTTCTTCTTCTTCCTTTCTCCTCCTTTCAAACCCCAACTTTTTCACGGATTGGGATAGAACCAGCATCTCCCTTTAGAATCCCTGGGTTTACTTCGTCCAATTCTTTTCTCCATTATTTTACTTCTCCTTTCGCTATCCTCTTCAGTCCCATTTCTCTGGATTATCCTTGTTGAAATCACCGCGATTGGTGTATTTCCCTGTTCCACCTTCCTTTCGCCTCCTTTCCGCCTACTAGTCCCAGACGCTCCGCGCTTATATTTGATTTTTCCCCTGCCGCCCGTTCCTTTGCGTCCGCTTGGCCTTTAGTAATAATATCATCCCCGGCTTAATTCCATTCTTCTCTTTCTCCTCCTCTCAGTTGGAGTTTGATATATCAAGTTTTCGAGCAAAGTGAGTGGCCCTTTTCACGTCGTTGTTCCCTTTTCCTCCTCGCGCTTCCTCTCTGCCCCGGAATCCCTCCCCCCATGGTGGACGGTGCTCCCAAGCCTTCCGGTTGATGCATCAGCTGCACCTCCTTGCGTCAGCACGATCTCTGGGCCTGGGGGAGACTGCTGCCTTTTGGTTCTGATCCTCTTCCGACACTCAAAAATCAAATCGTGCATCGTTCATTCGATTGTTTTTTCTTGGGGTGTCCGATAGTGGTTCTTTCCGCGTACACCCACGGTCGACGGGGCAAGGGGCTGGCCGGATCCCACTTTTACAATACACGGAGAATTCGCTTTCATGGCTGACTGACATCTTTCCCTACGGACAGGCTCGTTACTCTTGACGTTCACTACCACCCGCCCACCCAACTCCGTCCCCCCGCTACACATTAGACTTTTCATCCATCACTCCCACGTTCATTAATCGCCGCCAAAATGGGTTGTGGAATGAGTACTGAAGACAAGGAGGGCAAGGCCCGTAACGAGGAGATTGAGAACCAGCTCAAGCGGGACAAGATGATGCAGCGCAACGAGATTAAGATGCTGTTGCTCGGTATGCGCTCTCTCTCTCTACCCCCGTGCAGGTTTCGCGCTGGGACGCAAGATTAACGATGTCTTGAACAGGTGCTGGAGAGTCCGGAAAATCGACCATTCTCAAGCAGATGAAGCTGATCCACGAGGGCAGCTACTCCCGCGATGAGCGTGAGTCCTTCAAGGAAATCATCTACAGCAACACCGTCCAGTCTATGCGCGTCATCTTGGAGGCTATGGAGTCGCTGGAGCTGCCTCTGGAGGATGCTCGCAACGAGTACCACGTCCAGACCGTCTTCATGCAGCCTGCTCAGATCGAGGGCGACAACCTGCCCCCGGAGGTCGGCAATGCCATTGGTGCTCTGTGGCGCGACAGCGGTGTTCAGGAGTGCTTCAAGCGGTCTCGTGAATACCAGCTGAACGACTCCGCCAAGTAGTAAGTGCCGCATCTGTCTCGGGCTCGTCAGGAGCCTCTGTTAACCGATTTCTTAGCTACTTCGATGCCATCGACCGTATCGCGCAGCCTGACTACCTCCCCACCGACCAGGATGTCCTCCGCTCTCGTGTCAAGACCACCGGTATCACCGAGACTACTTTCATCATCGGTGATTTGACCTACCGCATGTTCGACGTCGGTGGCCAGCGTTCGGAACGTAAGAAGTGGATCCACTGCTTCGAGAACGTCACCACGATCCTTTTCCTGGTCGCCATCTCCGAATACGACCAGCTGTTGTTCGAGGACGAGACCGTCAACCGTATGCAGGAAGCGCTTACCCTGTTCGACTCCATCTGCAACTCCCGGTGGTTCGTCAAGACTTCCATCATTCTCTTCCTGAACAAGATCGATCGTTTCAAGGAGAAGCTGCCCGTCAGCCCTATGAAGAACTACTTCCCCGACTACGAGGGTGGTGCCGACTACGCCGCCGCCTGCGACTACATCCTCAACCGCTTTGTCTCTCTCAACCAAGCCGAGCAGAAGCAGATTTACACTCACTTCACATGTGCTACGGATACCACACAGATCCGTTTCGTCATGGCCGCAGTTAACGGTATGTCCCGCACACTTATCGAACCGTTTCATGCTCAGATACTGACTCTCATTAGACATCATCATCCAAGAAAACCTGAGACTGTGTGGTCTGATCTAATGACCGGTATATTTCGCTCGAGTGAGAACTTCTCGACATTTAGACCGTATGCTATGTGACTTGTAATCTTGTCTGTTTTGCTTTTTGCCATACCATGTCGCACTCTGTTCTTTTTATTCCTCCCTTTTGAGAGATCCTGGCGTTGAGACATTCACTTGTCTATTTTACTAATTCCCTATTTCCTTTGTCTTGAAATGATATCTAGCCGGCTCTTTGTTATCAGCATTACCGATATCCATCCCATGACACAGAGCAGGAGTTGTTTTACCTTTGCACTTTCTATTCTGTTTCTCTTCTCTGTGAGCAGCGGGTCATCTGTGGTTCCATCGGAATTTATAGATTTATCAGAGCCCGTGCTTGCGTGTCTTCTTTTCTCCTTTATTTACTTATATGGGATTCCCGCGTCGTTTTCTTGTCTACCTCCCTCCGTGTTCGCGTTACCCTCCACCCCCTCTTTCCGCTTTTCCTTTTTCATCCTGTGTCTTCTTTCCCCAGCTGGATATCCCATCATCTCTTGGTGCCCCTCGTCCGCAATTCTGTGTGTAACCATATATCACGCATTCTTCCATATGGGTCTCACGTGCATTGGAGGGCAATGAACGACGACAAGGCCACGGGCACGGGAGATTGACAGGGTACGCTGAATATCATGTCTTTTCCTCATGTGTCATGCCGGGTCGGTCATTGGGTTATAGTCAGAGTTAAGGATTGTGAAATATATCTTCTGTTAAAAATGTGTTTTCGCGTAGAGTCGGTGTACATTAGAACTAATAAAAGTGTTTAACAATGTTTTATCAATTATCAGCATGTATCTACACCAAGTGTCCAGGTTCTAGGCCCAGGTCCAGCTTCAATATCCGCCCAGCGGATAATAATACTATCTACTAACTAGTGGTACTCGGCACTCCCTCCCTCCCCAATGGACACTCACATTCCCCAGAAAGAAAATCAAAACCTCAGCTTCGGCCCCAAGAACACAATCAGAATAGCTACCAGCCACATCCCAAAAATCCACGCATACAACATCATCCGTCCCCACCAGCCCTTCCCCTCCGTCATCCTCCGCAACATGCCCATACGCTGCTCCGCGACCTTCATGTTCCCGGCCGTTCGATCAATCCCATCCACCGCGCGAGCCAGCACCGACTTCTCCGCCTCCAGGGAGGAGTGGAACGTCTGCGCCGAAGTCTTCAGCTGCGTTGCTAGCGCAAGCATAGACGATGTCAGGTCTTCCTGTTCCGCGCGATGAGATGACAGCGTCTCTTCTGTCGCGTGTAATCGAGAGTCTGAGGATTGCTGTGGGGAAGGTGGGTTCTTCTGGAGAGATGATCCGGTTGCGCTGGCTGTTGCCGTGGAGGGGATGGTTGTGGGTGCGTGTGATCTGTTTCGGAGAGTTGATGGTTGTTCTTGTGTCGGGGCGGGAGTGGCTTCTGCTGTTTGGGAGGGTGGTTCGGTGGTCATTGGTGGTGCGGATGGGGTGTTGGTGGCGGATGCTGTTGTTGTTGTTGTCGTCGTTGTTGGCTCTTTATCATGCGGTACGATATCACGGTCCTTCTCTTCATGTTCGAGTTGTTCGTCGGTGGTGCTGCCCTCGTCTGGGGTGCCGAGGAGGTCTTCACCGTCTAGAGAGTCGTCTTCCTCTTCGTCGTCGTCGGATTGAGGTTCCGCCTGGGAACTACTGATCTCGTCGAGGACATTCTGGAGTTGTTTGAGGACCTGCCGTTGACGTGCTAGGTCGGACTGCAGGTCGTTGCGACGGTCGGTGGGTTTGATCTGGGGGAGGGTGCGTTCGAGGGTTTGAAGGTTGGTGCGGGCGTAGTCTATGTTCTTTGATGGGAAGTTAGTCAATAGTCATGGCTCGTGGCTGTAGCTGTATCCTCTACTATGCAAAGCGATAGGTAGTTTCGAGTGAAGAAAAGGCACGAGGACGTACTGCTCCGACTCTCATGCGCTGGTATTCTGACTGGCGTAGTGGCTTCAGATCCGCGGATGAGGAGAGGAGGTTATGTTCTAAACGAGCAACCAGGCGCGAGAGGTTCAAAGCTGCGAGGTCCGGAGAGTCCGGGTATGAGGAGTATGCTGTGAGAGTCATCTTCTCTGCTTCTGCTATGTGTGCTGGGAGAAGTCAAGAGGAGGGGAAGGTTGGGCATGAAGCTCTTCTGGCCATTCCATCATGTGGTGACGGGGAGGCCTGTAGATCTGCTGACTCATACAGATCGAGCTGGTTGTTTGGGCTAGTCCTAATCAGGAAATCGGGGACTATAGAGCGTCTCGGGGTTCAGTTGTTCTCTTCTCTCTCGCGCTTGCTGGGGGAGTTTGTCGCCTCCAAGAAATGCTCGGAAAGGTACCAGATGATTATCATCGTGGAGGTCATTAATCGTCATTGAATGCTAAGCTAGGTAGGCGCGAAAAATAATAAAACTAAAGCACAGTCTGCCACCCTTTTGGGCGCTGTCGTTCGGGACAGACGCCCTATGCTACTAGCCCGAAAATCCTCATAAGCGTCCCCGAGAGAGGGAAAAAAGAACAGGTAAACTGAACAGCGAAACCCACAACTGAAAAAGGGAAAGGGAAAAAGAGCAAGCCAAATCCCGGAGGATGAAAAGAACCCCACAATGCATCGTTCTCGAAGAGGAAACATCACACCATCAGTCAGCTAAGGCTAGCTGTACTCAATCATCAACCGTCGCCAGGAGCGCGTACCCTCCTCATCTACATCGTGCATGAATTGGACTGCGTAGCCGCATTTTTGGGAAGGATGGGATCCGATAAGGTTTGCGATACTGGGGACCCCCTGTTCGTGGCTAGTAGCAATAGGGTTGGCATACCACTGAACCGGCGCAGGAATTCCGGGCTGGCGCTGAGGATCTGACACCACCATGGAACCGTGAGTTGGCGCTTCAGATGACGAGTCACCGAGGCGATCATCCAACCTCACCGCGGGGGGTGTAGCTGAACGATGGTCGTGGACAGGGGCGGAGGCGGCACACCCGGGCGACAACGGCACCAGATGACCGTCGGTTCCAGATGCTTGCTTTGTCCAAAGGCTCCGCTCGCGGGCCAGGACAGCCGCTAGATAACCACTAGAAGGTAAGGGAGACAGCTGGGAAAGTGGCTGCAGGACATCACAGGCTGAAGGGAATGGACCAACGCCCTGGGAGGCTGGGTCATTGAGATAGCCTACGCCGTAGCCGTGGCCCTGAACTAGGCCTAGGCCCACTGCTGCAGTCCTGCCGACGGGCTCTTCGCCACCACTACCCACGATACCACCACGATCGCACTTCTCGGACGGCGTAAAAGGTGGCGGGTCCATCATTTGCCTCTCTGGCGGTACGTAGGCGTAGGATCTAAAGGGTGGTGGACGGCGAAGACGCTGAACTAGTAGGACCAGAATGCAGAATATGCTGGCAATCACGTATAGAATGGCGAAGGAGAGGATCCGAATGTCTTTTTTCGGGATTGACCATTCATTGTCCATACAGCTCATTGCAGGATTCTCTAGATGTGCTGGGTCCTAGGGCCGCACACCACACACTCACACGCACTGCTTGCTTTCTCCTGCTGACGGAATAATGCAGGTTTTGATTGTTTTCTAGGGTGTTTCAGTAAGTATTAGGTATATCTATTTTTTGGGAGGGGAGAGAGCTGTGTCACCCGCGCAATTGGGAAATAGTGGTTATGTACCGGATATAGCTGGAATCTCTTTATAGTATATTAAGTACTTCTTTCCGTTCCAGAAAGGGGAAGAAATGACGATAGTAGTAGAAGAGATAGAGTGAGAGATAGTCCCTCCCAGGCCAGTTTGTGGTAGAAGTAGTCGCAGAGTATCACAGATAGGGTTGGAAGATGGGGTGGGAGGTATGAGAGAGGAAGTAAATGAAGAATGGATAAGGCAAGTGGTTATAATTCAAAACCAACGACTTCTTTTCTCAAGGATGCGATCTAGGAGGTACTTATAACCAAGACCAACATGGCGCAAGCATGGCGCATCAACAAATCAAAAAGAAAAAAAATATTCAAGCACCAGTCCTAGAATGATCCGGTGAGGGAAATTCCCATAGTCTGTTTTGATATTATAGTATCCAGGGAGAAAAGGAAAGGTGCGCGCGACTCCACCATGCAGGGACATCTACAGTAAAACAAAAATCCCCGTCTAGTGGGATCGCAGCGTGGTTTTGAAGCTCGCATTGCAGGTATGTGTAAACTAAGCTAACTACGGACAGGGAAGAGAGAAAGAGGAAGAAGGAAAGAGAGGAGAGGGGGGGGGTTTGTGTTGGGATAGTGTGAAAGTGGCCCCTCCAGGTCCAGCTCTGTCATGTTCAGCCACGAGAGCATAATGAAGGGGAAGACGAAACCCACGGGAATGGGGACTCCAACTGTAATGCACCCCCGTCATAGGACCAGGAACGTCTCAACGCAAGGCAGGTTCAGCTGTCCAGATAGAGCGCCACATTCAGGATATCGGCTGGCGGAGGAAAGATGGGGGGAGAAAAAGGGCCCGCTAAACTCATTAGCGAGTGTTCCCGACCCAGTGAAGATCAAGCAAACCAGCAAAGTATCCAGTATCGACGGTATAAGGCGACCTGGACCGGGTGAGGCTCGAACACTAGACTGGTAGTCTACTTGTCGGGACCAGGAGATGGCGGACTGAAGAGAGGAGAGTCTAGTCTTGTCTTGAGTCTCTAATTTGTCCGCTGAAGCCAGAGTAAGACCGAGCGTGTTGAAGTGGAGTCTTTTTAGTTTAGTAGTAGTGCAGCGACCAAGACTGAGTGGAGAAAAGAAAAGTCGTTGGACGGGATGGATATAACTAACTACTAGAAGATATTCATGACTACTAGATACTGAACTGAACATGTCGACTGTATGTATCGACTGACTAGCTAGTAGTACAGTAGTACGTAGTTGTGCGTGTGTAACAATCTATAATTCTCCATAAATGCAAATCAATTTTAGAAATCAAATCAATCTCGACTAGGGATACCTCCGGTCAGGTGCTCACGCGTATTATTACCTGTCCCACCCCAACATGCTGTATACTCTAAGTAGTATTCTTCCACCCCCCTGTAAGATTACCGGCCTCGTGATCTAGAAATGTAGAACTTCCCTGCTACTACTAGTACAACACAACAACTCAACGCCTCTTTTCCCCTTTCCTTCCTCCTTTTCCTACTCATCCTTCCCTTTTGTCTAAACTATCACCAGTTTGTTTCATGGCTTCCTGGTGTCGTCGCTCTCCATTACCCTTCACAGCCCGTCCATTTACCTCAGCTGCGCCATTTTCCCGAATTTCTCCCTCCAGAATAATGAAATTGATCGTCTGGATTGCCGCAGATCCAGTTCGACTTCCACGGTTTTTCGGGTCCTGACCCGGTGGGGGTTTTCATGAATATAGTTATCATCAGCTCGCCATTGCAGAGTGGATTATGCTTTATGAGACATTCATGACATCTGACTTTGGACAGGCTGCCACTTTATTTTTACATTATTCTCTCTTCTCATCCCGCGTCTCCCTTGGGATTCCCCGAAGATGGGCGACTCAGGAACGAGATCCGTCTAGCGCCCCAGTGTGGCGGTGTTCTCGGCGATCAGTGTGGCGCTAGATTTGCCCTGTCTTTGCCCTCTGACAGGCTCACAGGCTCCTCGGCCGGCCTGGCCTACAGTACCAACTAAAACTAAACACGCCGCGCCATTTTTGGCCCCGGAAGCATTCTCCATTCACTATTATTCATTCGCTCATTCATCTGCATTGCTATGGGTCTACTGGTACTATCACTGTCTATCGTCGGGATCTGATTGCTCTCTCCACCCCCAATTTCCAAGCCCACGACCCAAGCACCGGGTTCTCTTCAAACGCACGTCAGCGATCTATTGAGTTTCCATATCCATTCCAAATACTACGCTGCATGCACCCCACCACAGGCGATATCCGAATCTGACAACTCTCATCCTCCTGGTTGGGTCGGCCAATGCGACTGGACGGGCAATTTGGCGTCCCGGGCAAGTGCCGCATGTAATGAAGGGCCCCGCGAAGTCGCCTGCCTACAGTTTAGCGGCAACAGCATCTCTCTGCATCTCCTCCTTAGCGCGATCGCGGAGCGCCTTGCGCAAGATCTTTCCTGAAGGATTCTTCGGAATCGCATCAACGAATACCACCCCTCCGGTAAGTCTTTTGATCGCAGACACTTTGCCATCCATGAACGCCATAATATCCTTCTCGGTGGCGGTTTGTCCGGATTTTAGTACAACATAGGCCCGGGGACTCTCGTCGTCATTTCTATTCGTCAACACCACATCAGCCCATTTGCTCGCTAGATTGAACCCCTCTTATTAACCCACCTTGGAACACCAATGACTGCAGCATCGGCCACTCCGGGATGCTCCAGCAGAAGGGCTTCCAGTTCAGCCGGTGCGACCTGGTTGCCTTTGACTTTGATCAACTCCTAGCGAAACCATGCCAGTTAGCACCATGCAACACGAGACAGAAGCAATGTGTTGGATATTGGCCTGCACCGCAGGTGGCGAGTCTGGGACTTTTTTTCTTCTTGTTTTTTTCAGCTCACCTTCTTTCGGTCAACTATGTGGAACTTGTTGCTGTCGTCGACATAAGCGATGTCTCCTGTCTTCAGCCATCCATCCTCCGTCTTGGTCTCCCTCGTGGCTTGCGGATTTCTCCAGTAGCCCTTCATGACATTCTGACCTCGAACCCAAAGTTCACCGCGCTGATTGCGTCCCAATTCTGTCACGCCATCATCGGCCATGATCTTCGCCTCACAGTTGGCATTGGGCTCTCCCACCGACGCCGATTCGCATATCTCATTGGGATCCCAGCCCATCATAGAGCACGTAGCCCTTTAGGCGAGAAAAACAGAAACTTCGTTAGCCTGCAGATTCTTCGCCACTGAATATACAAAAGCAATGGGTGGATAGCTTACTCGGTCATGCCCCATCCCTGTTTGAGGTTGATGCGTCCAGGTTCCCACAATGCCTCTACCTCCACACATACCTCCCTCCCTAGAGGTGCCGCGCCGCAGGATATACTTTCCACGCTACTCAGGTCGTATTTGCCGCTCTTGACTGCAGGGTGCTTGGCCAATGCGACCGCCACCGGTGGAACCACGATGAGATCGCTGATGCGGAACTTCTCCGTGTACTCGAGAACTTTGAGAAAGTCAAATTTTGGCATGATATATACGGGTATATCGCGACTCAGGGCAGACGCGATGAAGATGTTCTGCGCCATGGCATGGTACATGGGAAGGAAACAGAGCCAGCGCAAGCGGGACTGCTTGTCCTTCCAATCCGGATTGAGGTAGGAGAGGTGGTTGAATTGTCTCAGGTTGGCGACATAGTTCTTGTGCGTGATCTCGACCCCTTTGGGTCTGCCAGTGGTGCCACTGGAGTAGTTCAGGGCCAGAGTCCGATCGGCCAACTCCGGGCTTGACAAGTCATCCCATGCGAATCCGCTGCCTTCGTCCTCAGACGCTATCAGGTCGCCCCAGTAGCGGCAGCCGTTGACGGCATGTCCTTGACCATCATAAATGGCATTGTTGAAGACAAACACCCGATCGCGGTTGAGTCCAGCCAGCCTCGCGGCTTCAATTCCAGTGTCCAGACTGCCTTCGGCGCAGATCAGATACGATGCACCGGAATCCTGCAACTGATAGGCCAGTTCCCTGGCGACGTAGGATGGATTTGCGCCGGTGAAGATGCCGCCAGCCATGATGGTGCCGAGAAAAACGACAGGGAAGAACAAGTCATTGCCGGAGTAAAGTAATAAACGGTCACCCGCCTGTAGTCCATGCTTGCGCAAGCCTGCAGCAAATCGTTGACACCATAGACGGAAATCGTGGGGGGTGAAGTAGTGGGTGTCGGGACGAGCAGCCTCCGAGAAGCAGCGGTGCGTCTTGGAGAGGGGGTGAGTCGGCGAAGTCAGCAAAGCCGAGGCCAGATGGGTGTTGGGGATGTCAATCTGCCAGCGCGACTTGAACGGCATCTTTGCCAGCAATGCACGGTAAATGACTACTACTAGTAATACTGATGCTGAATAGATGATTGGAATGTGTGAAAATGCGCGAATTGAACAACTCAGACAATCTGTTGTGATCCCATGCAGTTGGACAACAAGTAAGTACTAATCGTGAATAACCGTCGCAGTAACCCTGTGTTCCCCGGTTGGAAAGATGATATGTTGTGTGACTTTAAGTAGTGGTGGTAATAAGTGACTCCTTACACCCAACCTTGCAGTATATAATCGAAATAGTAGGGACTATGCAATCCCTCCAAACATGCAACAATGCCTCGTATCGACAGTTTGAACCAAGAAAGAAGAGTAAGGAAGGGAGAGAAGAGAGAGGGAGAAAGAGAAAGAGGCGATTCCAATCTCAAGTACTAATAGGAGTAACAGTATAATATGATATAACATCTTACTACTCATTAACCCTGGCACCCACCGAAAGTCAATTTTTTCCCTTAAATTCCCCCTCATCATCTTCCTATGCACTCATACTCCTTCATAAACTCTCATCTGTATTTCGGACCAGTCAAGTCGAACCCCCCGAAACAAGGAACACAATCCATGCATCCACGTCAGCACATAAGCAACAAGACAAAGAAAAAAGACAAAGGGAAAATGAATAGAGGGACCCCACATTCATTAATCCCTGCTTTTCCGGGACACCCGTTGTCACAACGTTCTTAAAGAAGTATAGTTACTATTGCTTTTACACTGGGAAGGTACTTACGACCAACCCACTTACTACTTAACTTAGTAAGGCGGGTAGGAATGGAATAAAAAGAAGGTGAAAGGGGATTAAAGCTTTCCCCGCATTTGGGTTTATTGGAGAAGGAAGGAAGGAAGGAAGGAAAGTTAAGAACCGAGCGAGCCAATCGGTTGTGGTTGT